AAACCTAATGTTCTTATTTTTTCAAAATTAGAAAATGAAGGAAATAAAACTACTCATTATTTACCTTCTTTAATACAGATGTTAACATTTAGCTTAAAAAATTTTCCTGCATTTATTTGTGACCATACTAAATGTAACTTAAAATATCTCATCCTCCCCCAACTTATTAGCATATATTCTTCTATGTACTGCATAGTTTTCTTAATTCCACATGACTAGATTACATTTTATGAAAGACATTTGAATAATTAGTTCACTTGTTGGACCTTTAATTTTCAAGTTTTTATAAATAATGCTGTGATGAACATTAGGCATGTAGCTTTACCCATATGTAGCTATTTTTAAAGAGTAGCTTCTTAAAAGTGGATGTGCTGAATACAAAGCAGGAATATTTCTTACAGTTGCTAATATATACTGTGAACTGGCCTCTTAAAGATATTGTATGATGATAATGTTTTTAAAAGAAAGATACAGTGGGACTTAGAAACAGTCCCCATGAAATTGTGTTGCTCCTGAGGAAAAAGAAATGTTTAGCTACAGAAAAAATATTTAACGCTCTTTGAGTATCTAAGAAGAGACTTCTTATTTGAGACGTGGACTGAAGACTTAGTTGATAGAGATGGTACAAGTGCTGCTTTAGGTATGATTTAGAAAGTGAAAATCACTATTAGTAATTCATTGGGAGAGAACTGGCTTTTGGGAGATAATGAATTAATATTCTCTGACATACTAATGCAGTGTGAGTGATCAAGGTTGAGCTTGTTGATTTGGTTTAGAAACTTGACTTACTTGTCTGATTTATTATTATTATTATTTTGTTATTTTTTTTTAGACACAGCTCCGAATTGACTCCTTCTTTAGATTAGCACAACAAGAGAAAGAAGATGCTAAGCGTATTAAGAGCCAGAGACTAAACAGAGCTGTGACATGTATGCTCAGGAAAGAGAGAGAAGCAGCAGCCAGTGAAATAGAAGCAGTTTCTGTTGCTATGGAGGAAGAATTTGAGATACTTGATAAGGCAAAAGGAAAAACCCAGAAGAGAGGCATAAAAAATACATCGAAAGCCTCATCAAGCCTGAAAAGAAAGAGGCTTTCAGATTCTAAAGGAAAGAATACATGTGGTGGATTTTTGGGGGAGACCTGCCTGTCAGAATCATCTGATGCATCTTCAAGTGAGGATGCTGAAAGTTCATCTTTAATGAATGTACAAAGGAGAAAAGCAGTGAAAGAGCCAAAAATCAATGCTTCAGATTTGCAGAACTCACTGAAGAAAGCTCCTGTGAAGTATGGAGGTGCGACCACCAGCAGCTCTAGTGATGACAATGGAGAGGAAGAGAAGATAGTCCTCGTGACTGCCACATCTGTGTTTGGGAAGAAAAGAGGGAAACTGAGACGTGTAAGAGGAAGAAAAAGGAAACTTAATTAAAAAAATATGTATCTTCTATAATTAGGTATGACAGCCTTTGTAATGAATTTGTTAAGACATAATAAAATTAACTGTATTTGCACAGTCTTTGTATTTAGTGTGTGGTTCTTAAAAATACAAATGCTAAATTTGATATTTATTTTTTAATGTTTTACTTTAGTGTTTTTTAGTTGAATATTTCAAGTATCATTGGATATTTTCTTGTATTCACAGGCTTTGTCTTTTCATGTTTTCATTATCTTACAATGTCTGATCCTTTCTGGCCACGTTTAGAAAATGAAAACGATTTCTATTGATCAGCACTCACTCACAATAGGCATTCCCTCTGACATTCAGACCTAGCTGAGAAGAAAGATATGCATGTTTCTTATTCCACAAAAGTGGCAGTTTTACACAGCTGTTTAGCCCTGCTGCCCATGGCTTTGCATTTTCCCTCAGGTTCCACTTAAAAGCATAGCAGGAGGGAACCTCACTGCTGGAACATATTTGAATATGTTTGCTGTGGTTTTAGTAAATAATTAGGAAACCTAAATGAGGCACATCATTCTACCTATGAGCATTAAGTGTATGGGAACCTCTGTACAATTATGTTTGGCTTTTAAACAAGACTTCACTTGACAGAAGCTGACTTGTGTGTAAATGGATTTGGAGGCTTGGAGCTAGAGTTGAACTGGTGTAGGTGGGTCAGCTTTAGGAGTGGCCTGCAGGGGTTGATTGTTATTGACAGTGTTTGTTCAGAGTGGACAGCCAAGGTTATTTTAAGATTGCTCCTGCAGAGACCTTTCCCAAGAACAATTCCCAAGCTCCCAGTTGCTTAAAGTTAAGAATGATTGGAGAATAGTGCTGCCAGTTCCTTTAAGCATGGGTTTGCTGCCTTTCCAAGTCTGTGTCTTTTTGGCATCTTTAGTATTTCCATCTTTCCTGACTTCTTCCCTCAGCCTTCAAATTGAAAATCATCACCAATGAAAACAAAATGCAAATAGATAACTTCCAGCAGTCTTTGAATGACTTCTGGATGTGTTGTTTTTTAGGCTCCCATTTGTGTTGACTTGTCAGCCAAACTTCTCCAGTACTTGGACTACAGCAGCTGCTTTTCTTTTGCACATTATTTCTTCCTAATTTCAAATACGTCTTCTGCATCCATCTTTCTTCTCTAGCAGCTTCCTTCTAAAGTCAATGATCATTTCCGCATAAATAAATCTTTTCCTCATGTTTCTTTTCTCTGGAGGAACTTGGAGCAGAACATTTTTGGAGGCAAGGGGAGGGGAACATTAACTTTTTCGTGTTTTTCTTATTTCTCAGAATTACTTGTTACTGGGAGTTTTCTACATATATGTTTTGTAGGTAGGATTACAGTCTTGCTAAAGAATTTAATTTGGTGCCTTTAGTAGACCTTTACATTTGTTTTGCACTGCATTAGCTGAGGGAAAGGATGAACCACTGTAAAAACAGATGCTCATATACAATGGTCCGAATAAACTAGAACATTATGTCTCTCTTGCTTAACAGTCTGAGCTGACGAAGCAGTTGTGTGCCATGAGGTCATTCAGTCCTGTGTTCAGCCAACCCTTAGGATGCTGTCTTGCCTAAGTGGTCAATACTGGGTGACTGCTTCATCTGCATTGCATCCTGCCAGAAGGGGAAAGTCCAGGGCAAGCAGAAAGTCTTAAGGGTGACTTGAAAAATCACTTCTCCCATCTTGTCTACATGGACTGAGCATATGGCCACAGCTAGATATATATGCTCAGAAATGGAATTTCTACCCAGTCTATGTGCCTAGAGAGAAGGGGAAATGGAAGGTCAGGACCTGAGAAACCTGTTCCATAACAATTATTTATATAAAAGTTAATATTATATCTTTTTTTTATCTCAATCCTGTGACCAAGACATAATGCTTTTACAAGGGGAGAAAGACTTTTAGAGACATTAACCAGTTTTGCCAAATTCACCCATGTAGTAGGTAAAACTTCTCACCTGAACCAAAATCTACTAACTCAAAATTTCAGGGTGCTATTTTACCTATAAAAGAGGTTTCCTGTTTAAAATACCAGCTGAACAAATTTTTCATTACTCACATCAAGTTGGTGTACCTAGAACTTACTTAGGATGATGATCATCATGTGCCTTTTTTATTATCTTCCAGCTCATTAGTATTTTGTTTAGCTTTATCTATACTTGCTCTTAAACCCATATATTATTTTATTTCATTTATTGTTATTTTTCAGTTCTATTTGACTCATTTTTATAGATTCCAGTTCTCTGGTGTACTTCTCCTTGTCATCTGTTTTTGAGCATCTTAATCACAGTTACTATAAAGTATGTCAAATAACTCCAATATCTGGGTCACCTATGAGTTTAATTGTATTGTCTGTTTCTTGGTATGCTTGGGTAAATTTTGACTGAATGTTGAACAGTCTATATGAAAAATTGTAGACACTCTGTATCTTCTGTAGGAATTCATTCAAGGTGGTGGCAAAAATATTAAAGGAAAAATAGTAGAGAAAGTTATATAGTCTGAAACCCTTTTAGAAGGCCTAAAAGTTTTTCCTAGTTTCAGTAGATGTTTCTGCTGAAAGCAGCCTAAATGTCCCCTACATTTAGTTAATAAGTAAAACAAATAGCCAAAGTAAAAAAAGTTTACCTAACTAACTTGTTTACTCATATAGTCTTAAAATTAACCTATAAGCCAGATAGCCATCTCAAGAAGTTAAAGATATTATCCTCTAATAGTGTTTGCTTTAAGCATCAGAACCTGTGCTTTAATCTCTTCACTCTAGTAGTGTTAACTCAAGCCTTTGTCAATTAAACTTTATTAAATAAATGCAAGTGTCTTTAGCTAGTAAAAGCCAGCAGCTGCTATCTGTTTACGGCACTCTCCAAAGAGTCTGTAAGCAGCCACAGTCCCTCAGCCGAAATAGCAAAGCATAATCTCTGTGTGTCAGTGTACTTTATTTATCCGTCCCTAAGTCAAAGTCTGCAAGACAAACCTCTGCAAAGTAGTGACCCCAACAGTTGGTCTGTCAGTCTTCCTGCAGAGAGGATTCCAAAATGTATTCTGACAGGCAGCAGAGGGGAAGATCACCTCAATGTAGCCAGCCAGAATCAACTGGATTCAAAGCTGGTTTGCAGTTTTTTCTGTAAGACTTTAACTTCTATTTTTCTCCCTCATTCCAGGAAAGTTGCTTTCCAGGACTACCCTGATGTTTCTTCTTTTGTGCTTGGATCTGCTTTTGTCACTAAATGCTTCAAAAATTAGCCTTTTGCCCTAAACAGCTTAAGCAGTAAACATTTTGAGTGAAAGGTCAGCACTAAGTGTCAGGCTTCTCTGTCCCTTTTACTGGGATCTTGGGCCCACAATTCTAGCTGTTTTGGCAGCCACAAACACTTCTTTTTTTTTTGAGTCAAAGTCTCACTCTGTCTCCAGATTAGAGTGCAGTGGTTCTATCTTGGCTCACTGCAACCCCCACCTCCTGAGTTCAAGTGATTCTCCTGCCCCAGCCTCCTCAGTAGCTGGGATTACAGGTGTCTGCCACCATGTCCAGCTAATTTTTGTATTTTTAGTAGAGATGGGGTTTCACCACATAGGCCAGGATGGTCTTGATCTCGACTTCGTGATTCACCCGCCTTGGCCTCACAAAGTGCTGGAATTACAGGTGTGAGCCACAGTGCCCTGCCACAAACACTCTTCTTTTGTCTCCACAGTTCTGTGAGATTGCCTGAAGCTCCGCTGCTATCCTTACAGGTGGTCCTTTCTTTGGCTTCCTCAAGAAACAGTAAAACAGCAATGCCTGGAATTGTTGGCTGCCTTCATAGCTATCTGATACTTTGTAACGGAGGCATGTTTGTGTGGTGTATGGGTGTGTATGTGTTTAAAAATCTGCTTTTCTCATTCTTAATAGAAGCTGAGGTCTGCTATAAGCTACTTACACCTGGAGGCAGAAGTCTATGTACTTCTTAAACAGTTCAGTATAATTTAAGTGATCATTGTCATCATGTTGGTTAAGATGCTTGAATTAGGTATTCTGCCTCTTAAGAGATCTAATAGGATTGCATGGTCTCTCCAAAAAATCTTTTAAAAACACGTTTTTTTATTCATCATTTATTCTTATTTTTTAAAAAGCCCAAAAGAGAGAGTAGCCTCTGCCCCATATTAACTTCCTATGAATAATAGTTTTTATTGTTTAGGACTTTGAACTTTCCAGAATGTTTTTACCTATAATATTCACCCCACAAATATAGGTTGTATGACTTTTATATCATTTTAAAAAGATTTTTATTTTTTTTTTGAGGCAGGGTCTTGCTCTGCCACCCAGGCTGGAGTTCAATGGTGCGACCACAGCTCACTGCAGCCTCCATTTCCTGGGCTGAATGATCCTCCTGCCTTGGCCCCCCAAAGCTTCCCAAAGGCTAGGGCACTCTGCCGATATATCCTTGTTTTATAGATGATGAAACCAAGAAACATACTAAGTAAATGGCTTAAAATCAATCTAATTTTAGGCAGGAATAACTGAAATCAGGCTTTCCAACTCCTAGCCCTTTCCAATACTTTAAAGTGACCTTGATTCAACTGTGTATACATCGTGGACCTGTAGTCACAGCCATAAGTTTAACTTTATAATATTGCTTGTATCGTTAACTCTGTAATTTTCTATGAAGGATCTTTCCAGTGGAATGGGAAATGTGTGCGTCCTCTGAGAGGCAAACCTACATGCACTTGGGCAGGTGCACAGGTGGACCTATATTTTCAGCCTACCCATTCAGTCTGAATAGGAAGGAATCATGCTAGTCTGATTCCTGGGTGCAGAGCAATACTGTACACATCCTGGTGTGGTTGTTGGCATCTTAAACAGTGTTCCCATGCAGGTAAGTGACAAGAAAAATACGTGGCCTTCATTTCCTGGTATATCATAGCCACGGAGTCTTAGAATATTTCTTAGCATCCAAGTTAAAAGCTGGATCACGCCCTCCAAATATTCATTGCTCACTTCCGGGAGTGGGTTGTACTCACTTCTAGCTCTGTTCATGAGACACTTAAGTGGGATATTCCTAGCCTTCTGCCCACTTATATGCCCGGAATACAGTTCCGGGCATTCCAGCCTCACTGCTGTATAACCAGAGGCACGGAAGCTGCAGCTGTCAGGATCTTAATCCCTTCTGCTTGGACTCGTTACCAGTATGTACAGTAGTAAACTGTGTGCTTTGGTGCTAGCCCTTCAGTCACTACCAGAGGTCTCAGCAGCAAAAACAAAAATTGTGGATGATGTGTTTTAACCTTCCAGAAACTCAGCTAATAGGTATGTCCAGGCTTTCCATTTAAATATCAGCCTGAAGGCAGGCACGTATAATGAAGACCTGTTTCTTTAATGGAAGAGATCTAAATTGGGAGCAAAGCATGTGACCAGTTTTGCTATCGTTTTAGCTATGTAGCCTCAATGACATAATTTAACCTTGGTTTTCCTGATTTGCAAACTGTAGGGAAAATAATAATGTCTTCTAACTTACTGAATTCTTCAGTAAAAGAAAATGTGGTGGCTGTGAAAAGTGCTTTGGGTTTCTTGGAAGAAAGGAGTGCTATATTAATGCACAGTAGTGTAATAGTTATTTGACCCCAAATTGGGGAGTAAAACATCAAATTGTTATTTTCTAAAGTTTGAATAACAGTTTGTTAAGTTTATTCAGATAATCTGCTCTATTTTAGAGGCATAAATAGTTCCTTCAGTTTTAAATATATTGGCTGTGATAGTATGGACTCTTTAAGGTAGACGCTGCTCAGAGATTATCTGGCAGTGAGGCTGTTTGACATTGCATGCGTGCTAATGATGGGAACAAGTGAACTTTCAATGTTTTAATCAATTTAATCGATTTTAGGATTGCTATCTTACTAGTCAATATGAAGATGATGGCTTTCTTTGTTACGTTTGAGGTAGTCTCTGGTGAAGAATATGTTTTCTTTCTCTAGTAGATTTTTAAGATTTCTGACTCCAGGAACCTTTGTTGTGATTTTAATTTGTTCCGCATAGTGTATAGATGGCTTTCTTAAGTCAGCTTTGTTAATGTATAATATTTTAATATCAATTTGTCTGCTATATTTGAAGTTAAACTTATTAGGAAAATATAAAAGCACTCCATACAGATTTTGAATTAATTATTACCATTTGATATTTTTAATGTATTGTCTATCTAGTTTTCAGGAAATGATAAAGAAAACATCAATGTATCGCCAACCATCCTTTCATTACTTGGACTCAGAAGCTCAAGAAGGTAAATCACTTTATGTTTATGTAACTTACCAATTCTAAGACGACAAACAACCAATAGAATATAAAGTCTTACCTTTGCAGTATTCATTAATGTCTTAAAGGGAGTTGGGACTTTTTTCAATGGCCTATTATGTCTTGGTTTATATTTGCAAGCCTGGAAACATCTTGAATAATGTTTAATGTCTACTACTATAGCACGATCTTGATGATATGTTCAAGATACTTTTTTCAGAATATGTTAAATATAAAGCCTTACTAAGCATATACAGGGTTTTTGATCTTTATAAGGAATACAGTTTTTTCTCAAGTGCTATATACTAAATGTATGATGTGATTTCCAAGTACATTTTATTTCAGATAAGAAGCTTTCAAGAGAGATAAAAATAGTTTTATGTAAAAACTAACTTTTTACTAGTACTTGGGTGAAAGGTGAATTTAGGCTATACAAACATCTGTAGCCTGAGTTTATGGTCCTTCTAACTATTAATTAGCGGCAAATACATAATGTAATTTGACCTCTGGATGTAAGGAGATTAAGTTTGAATTCTACTACCAGTGTGGTGATTTGAAATTGAACTACCATGTTTATATAGTCTTAAATATCAAGCGTGACTTTGCATGGGTTATGTGATATAACTGCCTGCATTTTCTTGAGATCAAAAGTACAGACGTACACTCTCGACAGACTAGAAAAATTGTTTTTATAGAGCAGTTGTAATACAAATCTAACTATCTTGATTTCTTTTATTCTCTCCTTATCTGCACACACTGTAGATGTTTTCTAAACACTATAGTCCTGGTTTTTCTGTTTTTGGCCATTCCAGGTGGCTTCTACCTAGGAGAGCATACCCTTCGGCCAAGAGAGCTGGGTGTATGCCCAGTGTTGGCAGTCTACCTGGCTTAAACACAAACAGTTTTACCAAGCGATTCTTGCAAACCTAACCATTTAAGTTGATCACTTAGAGAACCCAGCCATTTAGATGATTTGAATTAAGATGCAATTTCTGTGTGGTTTATGAATAAAATTACATCATTATCATTACCATTAGTAACAGCTCTTGGTTTCAACAGTGCAAAAGATAATTTGGCAAATTACAAAGGAAATGGAAGACGTTCAAGGTAAGGTTGAGATGGAACTAGGATTAAAATGTTTTACAACACGAACAAACACACTCTGTAATCATCTGTGTAGCCAATTAAAGTTTTAAAAATATGTTCACACACACAGAGCTAAGGGGATTAAGGATGTGCCCTTGGAGCAGATCAGGTGACATTTAGTTGGAAAGGCATCACCAAGTAGATGAACACTCAGTTCTCAAGTACTGAAGGATATTGACTTTTCCTGCCCTAAGTCTTTTATACTTAGAATCCTGTGCTTGGAAAGGATGGAGCAAACCCATAGCTTAATGCTCATATTTCCACACTGGCATGAAAATCCAAGAATTATAGGATGTCACTTATTTATACACAGGTTAAAATTAGGGCTATGGTGGGTGCTAAATATTCATGTGTTTCTAAGGCTATATTATAGTTGAAAATGTCTAAAACCTTACCCTCATTAACTATTCTAAATATTTATGTTGCCTGCCTCATACCAACAGCCTCTCTCCAGCTTTAGCACATGTAGCAATCTGTTATAGGACAGCGGGGTCACCTGAGGGCCTGAAGCCTTGGGGAAGATTCATCCTTGCCCAAAAGGCTCAGTGATTTCTGCTCACAATGACTCCCAAATCTGTCATATCTGCTGCTTACTAGACATCCTACTGACTACCTCGTGTGAATTTAGTGCCTTTAAGACATAGATGCCGAAATGGGGCTAAGCATGTAAGGGATTTATTGGGGGAAATGTTTGTGGAGAAAAAGGAAAAAACAGAAGTAGGCAAGGAGAGCCTACAGAGCCCAACGTGGGTCCAGTGCCCGTGAGAGGAGACAGCGAAGTCAGATTGGGTGGGAAGAGTCTCCACCTGCAACACAGTTCTGAGAAAGTCTCGGGTGGATCGATGAAAATCCCTGAGCAGGAGTTGCCCACTAGAGGAGTGTCCTAAATGGAACAGGAACCGGCTGGCTTGAGCAGGCAGCTCCAGGAGGAGCATGGTTTCCCAGGAGCCACAGGGGCAGCAGTGGGCAGTGTTGGGCAACGCTGCTCCTTGTGGCTGGTTTTCTTAATTTGAGTGGCACACCCAGAGTAATAGGTATTGAAAATAATTTTCCTTTGCTGATTTGCACCTCCACCTATATTTTCCATCTCAGTCAATGGTGACATCATTTTGCAGGCTACCCAGAAACCTGGAATCATGCTCATTTTCTCCCTTTCCTTCACGCCCTTCATTGTAACATCTCATTGATTTTACATCCCTGATAGGTTTCCCTACCACTTGCTCCATTTCCACCATCACTTGCCTTGATTCAGGTCTTCATTATCTCTGCTCCTGACTGCTGTTAACCGCCTTCTAATTGGCTGTCTCGCTCTGGGCCAACTCACTTTCTTTACCCTCTCTAGTTCTTTTTCCACACTGTAACCTGTACTGCATGATCTTTTAAAAATCCAAATCTTGTCACATTTGTCTGCTGCTGAAAATTCTTCAGTGCCTCATTATTTCCTATAGGATAAAATCAAGACTTCTTAGCATGGCATAATGTGTTTTATCTTGTGCTACTATCCTCATTTATTCTTTATTCTGGCTCTCAGGGTTTCCCAAGTTGGAGAATTGGTCTGGAAACTTTTTGCCAGTGGGCTTTTGCACGTGTTATTTCCTATGTATGACAGGCCTTCCCTTCTTTGATTTGACTGACAAGCTCATAATTAGGAAGGCTCAGATAATTCTTTCCTGAGCTCTCTGAGAGGTGGAACTTTCTATTTTTGAGTTGCCTACTGAAGCTTTTGTTATAGCACTTCTACTGAGCCTCTGTTACAGCACTTGGTCTGCCTTCTAATTCATAGTGCGCAGGTGCTTAATAAATGAGTGAATGAACGAATTAGCTATAACCTAAGCCTATTGGTTGACTTAAATTTGCTCATTAGCAACGATCTTGTATTTCTGATCATCAGTCAGTTGACTCCCTTCAGGACCTAATATGTTCTGCTCAAGGTATCACATTTAAAATTTTCAGGAGCATCTCCATAAATCTTTGCAGAGTTACATTAATGGGTAAAATGACTTTTATAAACAATATTGCATTAATACATATGGAAATTTATGTGAATAATTCCATCATTGTTTTAAGAAACCTATTGAACTAGAGTCCAAAGCAATATATTTAATATACTAGTTGGAGTACTATAGCATATATAATTACTAATATGAGAATAATTTAACACATTTTAAATATTTTAAAAGTAACATGAATAATTGTCTTCCAGATAAGACTAACATGTTTTCTATGTGTTGAATAAAAATAGCTCTTGAATATACCAGTCTACTTCAGATGTCTCCAAACCTCAGATTTGAATGTCAAGTTTGAATGTAATTGTTGCCCCTAGGGGAGGCATACCACCACTTTGAAAGCACACAAATTCATACTTAGCTCCTTGACCCAAGGCTACTGCCTTCATTTAGACTCTTGTCATTTTTCATCTAGCTTCTTCCAAAAGCCTTCTAATTGGCTAGTAAGGTCAGCAGTTCTTCAGCTACTGCTGTCAGATGAAGTTCTTAAATATCAAATCTGATCATGTCAATTCCTGTTCTAATAATCTTTATTGGCTCATCCTCACCTTATAGAACAAATGTCAATGTTGCACATAAATTTAATCCCAGCCTACTTCTTCAGGCTTATTTTCTCCAGTTCACCAATATGCACCTCGTGTAACACTGATTATAATTCCTAAAGACACAATCCCAAATGCCATGATCCTGAATGTCGAAATCCCCAAAGAACAAACTCCCTCACATCGAATTGAATTATCAAACCATAATTATAAATTTGGAATTGGGTGCAATCAAAACCTCTAAAAGTGGATTTCAAGGTGTTACCAACAGTTTCTTTTTCCGCTCAGCCCAATACTTTTGCCGGAAAATTCAGATGAGTGGATTGCCTGTGGAATATAGCAACAGGGAAAACTTTAGTCTAAAACGCATTATTTGTCTGCACTGGCAATTCCTTCCAGCTGATGAAATTCTATGAGCTCTTGATGAATTAAAGCCAGAATTGGCCTGATTCTGAAATAATTGTGTGCACAGTAGGATAAGAAGGCACACAATGGTTGTTGCTGTTTGATCACCAATATTGTTTCAGCCAAGTCTGTGGTCTGTATATGAGAGCATGAGCAATGGATTTCCATGTACCTAAAACAACATAAAATGACACAGAAGATGGGAAATTTAATAGGAAATGCTCGTGTCGGTGTATATTGAATCAAATTAGAATATTAAAAAGCACAGCGTCATGTAGAAAATCAATGTGAATGTATTCTTCAAGAAGAGCCACGTTCTAAAAGAAAAGAAACAGTTACTCATCTCCATGCAAGACTTCAGAATAGAGTTAATGATCGTGGAAGTCTCTGTGCATTTGCCCATGCTTTATCCCTGTAATACACTTTTTCATATATTGAATTTTCTTTTTAGTTTCTTTAGGAAGGTTTTTTGTTTTTTTGTTTATTTCCTTTTCTAAAGTTTTTTTTCCTCACCATTTTAAATCCTCAGCATTATTTTTTACAACTCACTATGCTATATGTTTCATCTTTGCATTTCCAAAACTAGAGGTATAAATTGTATGAGCTTTTAGAGAGTTCTAATTTGTTTTATATATTTTTTTAAATTTGATTCCATGAAAATACATTTTCACAATACTGACTTTGTGTGTAAGCATTGTGCGTATATGTAAAAGCTATGAAACTTCCCCCATAAATAAAGGGATTTTTTTTTCTGCATCTGTATTCGTGAAAGATAATATTTTTCAAGATCTCAGCTCTTTGGGAAACTGTATATGTGGTGGTGACCCATTATTTAATTTTAATTTTTTAGCGAGGGGGAGAGATCCCACTATGTTGCCCAGGCTGGGCTC